TATTAAACGACGGGAGCCCAACTTATCTACGCGGTACAACCTGCAGCAGCTGTCTGGACGTGACATTTATGACAAACACCATTCTCTCTTCTGCGGACTGGTTCACTGATATCGAGACGCGCGGAAGCGACCATATTCCTACCTACATAATAATCAAGTCGTTTCAAGGCACACCAAATAGAAATACAGTTCAGCAAACACACTGGGATACTTATAAAACTTCAATGGAGCAGGCTTGCAAGAACACTGCAAGCTTGTCTACGTTCGAGAGCGACATTCTGAAACCGAGGAAAGCTGCTACCAAAACTTACAACCTTTCAAGTAACCAATCCACCATTGATTCAGAATATGAACGCTTGCGCGCAATTCGCCGTCGAGCAGAGCGCAAAGTAAGACGAACAAAAGACCCGAATGATTTGCGAGATGCCCGGAAGGCCCAAAGGCACACGAGGCGGCACCTACAGAAACTTGGTTGGCGACGCTGGAAATCTATATGCGCTTCAATGGACCCCAAAAAGCCATACACCAACGTATGGAAAATTGCACGTGGACTAAACCCCCCCCCCTTCCCCCCATCAACTGCGTCCATTTAAGGCATTAGCTTTGCATAAGCAATGCTCTGAGAAATGTATCGCCGAAGAATACAGTACCATGCTCACCAGCTCATCAAATAGCCAACAGCTGGGATTCAAGGATAATGTTGTCATTCCTTCCACAACGAACGGGAAAATGAATGACCCATTTAGTATGCAAGAAATGGAAGCTGCACTCGGTTCTACAAATGCAAAATCGTCACCCGGCCCTGACGGTGTGAGGTACTCAGGCCTAATCCACCTGGGATTAGAGGCGAAGGCGCGGCTTCTAGCGTTTTTCAACATCTCATGGAAAACCGGTGTTGTACCTCTGACGTGGAAAAAAAGTAGGATAGTTCCTCTACTTAAACCAGGCAAGTCAATGCTTGATATATCGTCTTACCGCCCTATAGCTCTTGCGAGTTGTATTGGTAAACTGATGGAAAAAAAAATGATCCTCTTTCGCATCGAATGGTATCTAGGGCAAAACGGGTATTACCCAAATATAATGTCCGGATTTCGGAGAGGCCGAAGCTCTATTGACAGCGTAATTGATCTCGTGACTTCAGTGGAACAATCTAAGTCGGAGGGGCGCATGTGTGCCGCTGTATTCTTAGATATCAAAAGCGCATTCGATTCTATCACTCATAGGGCCATTCCAGAATCCTTAGAAGAACTTGGACTGGGTGGTCATATATACCGCTGGATATCCAACTATCTCGACAACAGATTTATTTGCATCTCCACAGAATCAGGAAATACACGACTCTTCCGCGTAACCAAGGGAGTACCACAAGGAGGAGTGCTGAGCCCAACACTTTTCGAACTACCACTCACAAGCCTTGTTAAGACACTTCCTAACACAGTTCATGCTTCGATTTATGCGGATGATATTTGTATTTGGGCGTTCGGAATTACGCGATTTCATATAAAAGCAAAACTTCAGAGAACATTGGATATCCTGCATCATTACTTAACATACCGGGGACTACATATATCAACATCAAAGTCTGCTGCTATCGCGTTCACACGCCGAAGCATGGACAAATATCCTCTAACTATCTGCAAAGAAAAAAATACCTTTCGTAAAGAAGCATCTCTTCTTGGGCGTCGTCGTTGATCGCGGTCTGACATGGACGCCCCATATTCAACATCTTAAGAAGAAGCTCTCAGCGTTTGTCCTACTAGCCCGGTTCATCAGTGGCACAACATGGGGAGCGACAGTTCCTGCTCTGCTGCGTCTTTACCAAGCTATTTTTGTGGGCATCTTGCGCTACAGCCTCCCCGCTTTCAACGGCACCTGCAAAACAAATATGAAGATGCTACAGAGCCTACAGGCTCGAGCTCTGCGCTGCTGTCTTGGTCTCCCTCGGTCAGCTTCCACGCCAGGCACTATAGCCGAATCCCGACACTTCCCAGCATGTGTTCTTCAAATTCAAGAAACCTTAAGAATACATTTACGGCATCTAACCAGACAAAAAAGACGTTATCTAGCCGACATTATGTCGTCTAGACCATCGTCCAACTATGCTCGTGTTTTAGCACTGTACCAACAAGAATTTCCATCAAGGTTTCTAACACCAGAAATTGCAGCTACTCCACCTTGGACCATACCTACGCCGCTAATATCCCACGACATTCCTGGGATACATACAAAACGCAACACTCCTCAGGCGGTGCTGTACCAACATACAATGACCGAACTCTATGGATCTCATATATCTCGTATACACGTTTTCACCGATGGTTCTACAAGTATAATGAGCTCAACAGCTGCTGCTGTGTTTTCTACCAGAGATATAACTATTAAGCACAAACTAAGTCACAAAACATCTTCAACAACAACCGAACTGATTGCCACTCAAGAAGCGGTGAAGTATATCGAGAAACAACAACCTCAAACATGAACAATCTTCACCGACTCCAAAGTGTCCTTGAAAATTCTACAATCGGCTATGGTACCTAGCGGATACCAAGAACTTGGTTTGAACATCATGCTACTTTTAAACCGCTGCCGAGTTAAAGGACATGATCTGCGCCTCCAATGGATTCCAAGCCATAGTGGGATTTCTGGCAACGAGGCAGCAGATGCAGCGGCTAAATCTGCCCATAAAAATGTGTGCACCCTCAAAATTCCTTACTTCAAGTCAGAAGCTAACTCAACAGTGCGTAACGTAGCCAAACTCCTGACATCACATCTATAGGCTGATCCCGAGTACCATCACTCCCGATTATACGCCCTCGATCCACATATGACATTTAGATATCCGTCTGGACTTCCACGCAGGTCCCAGGCAGTACTACACAGACTCCGACTGGGGGTGGCGTTTACCCGACACTTCTTACATCGAATAAAAAGAAGAGACAGCGCTAACTGCCCAGTCTGCGATGTTCAGGAAACTGCAAATCACCTTATCTGTGAATGTGCCATCTACGCCGTGGAAAGAGAAGACCTTCGCAGAACAATTCAGAGGCTAGACGACCGGCCTTTCTCCTGTGACAAAGTGCTGGGCTCGTGGCAGTCCACGGAACATTCAATGAAAGCCACAAAAGCCCTGGTACGATTTCTCGAGGACACCCGGTTGATGCAATCCCTGTAGGCAGAGACTGACATTTTTAACTATTCAACCCATCATCCTTTCAGCCCTCTCTTCTCATATTCATTAAGCACCTCATCCCACCTTTTCATCCCGTAATCCTTTCCCCTGTGCAGAGTAGCCAGCTAGGACAGAAGTCCAGGCTTACCTCTCTGCCTTTCACTCATCACTTTAATAAAAAAAAACATTTTGCCACGCACGCACTGGCTCGGCGACGAGCATGGCAATATGGCGACACTGATGCAACGTGGGGGGGACACTATGACGTATAGCGTGTAATGTTTACATTACGCACAAGCGACTCCGGGAAAGACAAATGTCACCAATGACCTTTTTTGTCACGAATGACGAATCTCAAAAATGATATTTTTTGGCACGAATGAAAAATGTCACGAAGGACATTTGTCATTCATGACCATTTGCCAAGCACGCGATCGCTCGGCGAGGCGCGTGGCAATATGGCGACATTGATGAAAAGCTGAGGGACAGTATGCCGTATAGCCAGTAATGTTTACATTACGCACTAGCGATTCCGGGAATGACAAATGTCACCAATGACCTCTTTAGTCACGAATGACTTTTTTTTGTAAGGAATGACAAATGTCACGAAGGACATTTGTTATTCGTGACCATTTGCCACGCACGCGATCGCTCGGCGACGCGGGTGGCGATATGGCGACAGTGATGAAACGCTGGGGGGACAGTATGACGTATATCCTCTAATGTTTACATTACGCAATAGCGATTCCGGGAATGACAAATGTCACCGAAGACCTTTTTTTGTCACGAATCAAAAATCTCACGAATGACATTTTTTTTCACGAATGAAAAATGTTGCGAAGGGCATTTGTCATTCGTAACCATTTGCCAAGCACGCGATCCCTCGGCGAGGCGCGTGGCAATATGGCGATACTGATGGAACGCTGGGGGGACAGTATGGCGTATAGCCTGCATTACGCACTAGCGATTCTGGGAATGACAAATGTCATTGAGCATTCACACGCTGACGAAGCACGGCGGAAGACAACGGACCAATATTAATGTACTGTCTGGGGAGGCCTTGCCATTATAACCTTGTCGGTGATTATAGTGCAGTCCAATCTCGTTAATTCAAAATCTTTTAATTCAAACTTGCGGATAATTCAAACTAACATGCAGGTCCCATCCTATGCATGTCTACGTAAGAAAACTCCCGGTAAGTCAAACTTAGCTTTATACAAACAAATTTTCGGTTCCCCTTGAGTTTGAATTAACGAGATCCGACTGTATATTGCAGTCCCATCAAGGTATCGGTCTTCATGTGCTCATGCCAAGGCGAAGAAGACGTGTAAGGAAAAAATATTCTGAGCACATGCGAGCTGGTGTAAGTTGAACATGATGGTAAACCTGAGACTGGGGCTGAAGTTGGAGACTTGGTTTTTAAGTTGGACACTTGGTATATAAGGCGTGCACGATATAAACGATTTAGCTGAATTTGAGACGTTGCCTGTTTTTTTTGTTTCTGTCTGCCTTTGATTTTTCCTTTTCCTACTCCAGTCTCAGGTTTACCATCACCTTCAAGACGTGTACACGTTTGTGTACCGGCTCGAGCCGCATATGTGGTAAAAAGAACTACAAATATTATTTCTTTGCTTTATTTATAACTTTCACATAGCTCACGAAATAACAGTTTTCTTTTCAGCGCTGTCAAACGTGAATTCAGCTATCTTCTCCACATGCGTCGAATGGAAGCTTTTTTCGTCGAGTCCAGCGCATGAATTGTAGCAAAGAGACTGCGGAAGTCAATTTTATTCTGCTATATCAATTGACGTAATATTCTTTGATTTGGAACCTATTCCTTGACACAGATGCAGGTCTTTCCCCGAAAACCGCCGCAGTAGCCTTCTATGTGCCCACTGCTCCTGCAGTGACGATGGCATTTACCTCTCTGGAATGGGCAGTTGTAACTAGTGCGGCCTGTAGATGAAAGAAAATCAATTGTTTCAAGAATGGGTTATGATTCCCCCGTCTGTTGCAAAAATTCGGCGCAAAAAATCTCGGCATCACCTCGTGGAAACTTTTTTCTCTCCAAATGTTACAGTTCTCACGAAACAATTATTAATACTATATCAGCAGCACTGTTGGCCATGAACACCTGTTGGTTTTGTTGTTTATATTTTTTGTAATTGTAAGATCCATCTCCCTTACGTAATGCTCATAAATCAAGTCAATAAATAAATAAATAAATGATTTAATTACTAGTTTCATTCATATTTTAAATAATTCCTACATTTATTGCACTGAAATACCGTGCCGGGAGTCAGAATAATATTAAAAACATAGCACACACACACATCATCTCATTCGCACACAAGTTTTTTTAAATATATATATTTATAACTACACTTACGAACTCGAACAAGCTCTTTTTCTCCTCCTTCGTCATTTTCAGCCAGCGATGTACTGATCAGACCTTCGAGAAAACAAAAGGGTGACAAAGTAATCTTTATCATTCCCCCACGTTTTGTTGCACTTCTCTTTCTTATTATTATGAGTTCTTTTTTTAAAGCCAGGGCTTACCACTGATCAGCAAAAAGGCAAGCGAGACGGCAAGGACCTTCATGATTCCTAGTAGCCACCACAGGTTCAGCTCAAGCAAGATTCACTGCAACAAGTAGAACAGTCGAACTCATGATGACATAAAAACAGATAATAGAAAATAATGTCAAAGTGTTCAGGCACTGGACTAATGTTGTATCGAACAGAGCAAACGAAGACGTGCTTTTTGATAAATAAATGGAACACGAAGTCATAAACACCTGTAATGTACGGATAGACGAAAACTTTCATAGGATGATTTTGCTCTAACGTAAAATGAAGCCATGGAATAAACATAATTTTATTCATTCAGGTTTTCCGGCTTCTTATTAAATGTGCTTTTTGACCGGATCAGTTTTTTTTTTTTTTATTAGGCTTCCTTTTTTGTTTAGCAAATTCTTTACCAACCGCTGACAACTTTTATAATAAAGACGCGAGAAGCGGATTCACTGAAGAAGCGATCGAACTATTATATTGAACGTTTACGCCCTTTCACGCGATACTGGCATTTAAAAAAAGCTAATTGCATCCAAAAATTCCCAAGAGCCCCCGAAGACCATCCTCCTGGAGGTATTACCGCAAGTAATATGTTAAAAAAAGTGCTTATAAAGTTTTGGTGTTACCTTGTTGAAGCACTCTTATGGTGCTCAACAGAGTGGCACGTCTCGAATGATTAAACTAGAAGTATTTAACCCCATCATGGCAAAACAACGTTTGTCTAAAACATAAACCAGCTGCGATACGTTCTCTTGCTTCCATAAAAAGTGCGTACCGAGATAATTTTTGATAAATGGGACATTGATACCCAAAAAACTAATAAAAGGCATTTGCAATTTTTTGTATAAACGAGACCAAATAGAAGGCATTCTTAACCCTAATGTCGTATGAATTACAACGCATTTTTCTGTCTCATAGAAGAGGCAAATCGCTCGTCCAGCGGTTCGCAAAGGTTGTCTTACCTTTGCTGTGCGCAGAGGCGAAAATGTTTTGTAGGCGCTGCAAGCGTTAGTGCGCTTTTATACCCGTGGCTGTGTCCGAAGTTAAGCGGAACGCTGCCAGTAGCTAAGCCTGGGTTTCCCATGTAACGGACACGATGTCAACGTCACGCGCCCAGGGGAGGTATCAACTCCCACGCAACTTCCAGCTTCCTCGGCATTGCGCAGTGGATGAAAGAAGGACGGGCAGATGGAGACGTTTTGACGTCCGCTGCGATTACGTCATAGTCAGGTCAGGCTCTAAGCTCACATTTTGAGGGACGTTGAAAAGCCCAACGAGCTTGCAGGATACGATGAAAAGGGATATTGCCGGTACCTTCCAAGAGCTGTGCTGATAACGCTATGCCTCCGAGGACAGTCTCAAAGATCCAAATTCAAAAGCAGAAGATGCCAATCCTTTCAACGTTAAAATCGTTGCACAGCTCCTTTAATTATTTACGCGTAATTAATTTTTTTAAATATGGAGTTTAAGGGCATGGTTTCAATTAAAATCTCGATGAGAATCATTTAGAAACACTGAGTCAACAAATTGCAGAACGATAGAAGGCACGCGAAGCATTTTACGGCTTTCTGAAAAGCCGCACAAAATCGACAGGTTTTCAAACTTAAAAACCCGTCGATTTTGTGCGGTTTTTCAGAAAGCCGTAAAATACTTCGCGTGCCTTCCACCGTTCTGCAATTTGTTTATTTAGTGTTTTTCGATGATGCTGAGCAATTTTCTAATTTAAACCATGCCCTTAAACACAATAATAAAAAAGTTAATTACGCAAAAAAATTTAACAAATTAATTATCCCAAACTTTAATAATTTTACTAAATGGGCCCCTAGCCCAGGACCGGAACGCCACAAGCCTTTTTTTCATTGCGATGAGTAGTTTTCGCACGAGAGATTTGGCCTGCGTTTTCTGAAACACCCTGTATATATATATATATATACATATAGGGCGTTTTTTTAAGCTTAATTGTTTAAAAAAAAAAGCCGCAAACGTTAAAACTTATTCCTCGTGTGTACGGCCAAAGCGGACATTATGTGGGTTGCTAATCTTTGCGATAAGCCGGCTAATTAATTCAAATTCGCTGATTAACTTTTTAGTCAGTGAAAAAAGACATAGTGTTGCAATTAGAAACTTGTCATTCCTGTTTTTTGTCAGACGTCACGGATGACAAAAAAATTTGTAATTTGTGATATTTGTTACGATAATCTAATCATCCGCGTTCGGCAGCCGCTAGTCTTGTACCTGCTCCACGAGTTGAACCTTTAGTGCACTACGAAAATTAAAAAGCGCAAAAGACAAGGACAAGAGGGAGGCAACACAGGACAAGCGCTTACTCGCAACTGACGGTTTAATTCGGAAGATGAGGAAGATGAAGGACCCTGACGTTAAATGTTAGAAATATTAATGAGAAAGAACTGAAAGGATCTGAAAAGACTGAGAATTATTGAAAAAGAAAAAGAAAAAAAGAAAAAAAAGGAATGTGTAAAACCAATGGGAAATGGTGGGCATGAGAAAAGTGTCTTTTCGATCGTCAGAGAGCCAGCCAAACCAGTGCCACAGACCATGTCTTCGATCAACAGGGGGTTCTCACGCTGCCCAGTTACAAGCTGGACCGCAAGCTGGGACACTCCAAGGCCCGCTTTCGTAAAGACCGCCGCCTGGCCAACACCGGCGCCAACCCCTGCGGGGGTGCTGGACTCCCTGCACCGCCGGTAATTCGGCCGGCTCGTATGCAAGTATGGCACGCGAAGAGCCCTCTCCAGGCGCTTGAGACCGGCCTGCCAGAAGTAAGCACCCCATGGCAGCACCGCGAAGACCATCACCGCGAAGATTGCTGCTAGGCCTAACACACCATAACTTTCATCTGTACATTACACCATCACATAATCACCATCACTAGACACGGCACCGCGGGCCTCCTTGGTACGGGCTCTTGCCTTTCTGCGGTGCCGCGGCTCTCCTGAGCAAATAAAACATTACATTACATTACAACAGTGAAAGAAATGACAGTGAATATATTAAGAAAAAGAAAGAGGAAGGTAAAGCAAATCAAGAATATCTAAGGGAAATGTTTCATGTACTCTAATTCTTTTGATGACAAAGTCACCGAAGGAGCACTGATGCAGGCGTCTCCTTTGGTCGCAATCACTTCAGACTCAAGAATTTCTCGAGTTCGCTTGTCTGGACACCTCTTCAGGATCCTTGTGCTGGACAGTAGCGGGGCGCATCTACAGTCTCTCACATGTAGAGCGAGATGCCCCGACGGAGAGGATTTTAAAGATAGCGCATGTTCTCTAAGCCTTACGTTGATGCATCTTCCCGACTGTCCTACATATACCTTCCCACAGGTGAACGGGATCAAATACACTACCCCGCTGCAACAGTTGACGTATTTGTTGCCGTGCCTGACACTGCATTTGTTAGGCTTTGTGCGCGGGGTGTTGACTTTGGGGCAGAGCTTTTTAAGCTTGTCGGGGGCTGAAAACACAACCGGCACTTCGTATTTAGAGGCTATTCTCTTGAAGTTGTGAGAAATGCGGTGTATATAAGGGACGACCGCCGGTCGACTTCTTCTTTCTCCGCTTCTCTTGCTTGTTCTGTTTGGTTTTATCATGCATTCAACAACGTCAGACAGGATGGAGGTGGGGTAGCCTGACTCCTTGAGCCTTGATATTTGCGTGTCAAAGCTTTCTCTTGCTGAATGAATGCAAGACTTTTTCAGGGCAGCGCTCAAACAACTAGACACAATGCTCCTTTTGACTAGTTTTGAGTGTGCAGATTCATATTGGAGTATTCGTTTCTTGGATCTAGGAGAATACATCCAACAGACGTGGTCATTTTGAAAGGTGAGTCGCGTGTCCAAAAACTGGAGGTTGTTGTTCGTCGGAGTCTCGTGGGTGAAATTTAATCCTTGGGCCTGACCTAGGAATATGTTCTTCATGATGGTGATGTCGTTTGCGTCAGGGATTTTTGTCATGAGACAAGATAGTCGTCAACGTATCTGAATATGCGTGCGACTAGATAGTTCGTCAAACCCTGGAATATGCCCCTGTCACACTTTGAAAGAAAAATGTCACACAAAATGGGAGCTACGCATGACCCGATGCATATTCCTTTTTTCTCTATGTAAGTTTCTCCTGAAAAAGTGACAAACTTCGAGCACAAATGAAACTTCAAAAGCTCTAGGAAAGACGCAACTGGTATGCCACAGGTGTTTTGAAAACCTAGGGCTCCATTGGAGTCGATGCATTCGCTGACGGTGTCAAACAATTCTCTGTGTGGTATTGAATTAAATAAGTCTTCAACATCTAGGGAGAACCCATATCGTGTTTGGGTTGAGTCGTCTTTCAGGTATTGAATCATTACTTCTGAGTTGGAAATCAAGAATGGGTCATCAAGTTGGAGGACAGACAAATGACGCAGAAGGTACCGCGACATTTCACCCTGCCCAGATCCCTTCTCGGTCACAATTACGCGAAAAGGACATTCTTCCTTGTGGGTCTTGGCCGTGAAAAAAACTTCCAATTGGTTGCCTTTGGGTGGTGGGAAGGTATATGTAGGACAGTCGGGAAGATGCATCAACGTAAGGCTTAGAGAACATGCGCTATCTTTAAATTCCTCTCCGTCGGGGCATCTCGCTCTACATGTGAAGGACTGTAGATGCGCCCCGCTACTGTCCAGCACAAGGATCCTGAAGAGGTGTCCAGACAAGCGAACTCGAGAAATTCCTGAGGCTGAAGTGATTGCGACCAAAGGAGACGCCTGCATCAGTGCTCCTTCGGTGACTTTGTCATCAAAAGAATTAGAGTACATGAAACATTTCCCTTAGATATTCTTAATTTGTTTACCTTCCTCTTTCTTTTTCTTAATATATTCACTGGCATTTCTTTCACTGTTATTTTAATCATGCCCACCATTTCCCATTGGTTTTACACATTCCTTTTTTTTTCTTTTTTTCTTTTTCTTTTTCAATTCTCAGTCTTTTCAGATCCTTTCACTCCTTTCTCATTAATATTTCTAACATTTAACGTCAGG